TTTTTTTTTTTTTTGACAGGCAGAGTGGACAGTGAGAGAGAGAGACAGAGAGAAAGGTCTTCTTCCTTTGCCGTTGGTTCACCTTCCAATGGCCGCGGCTGGCACGCTGCGGCCGGCGCACCGCGCTGATCCACAGCAGGAGCCAGGTGCTTCTCCTGGTCTCCCATGGGGTGCAGGGCCCAAGCACCTGGGCCATCCTCCACTGCACTCCCGGGCCACAGCAGAGAGCTGGCCTGGAAGAGGGGCAACCGGGACAGAATCCGGCGCCCCGACCGGGACTAGAACCCGGTGTGCCGGCGCCGCATGGTGGAGGATTAGCCTAGTGAGCCGCGGTGCTGGCCAACTGCACTCTCCTTTATTGGTCCCTCCTTATCCTCCTAACCCCTAAATGTTGAAATTCTCTGGGGCTTGGCTCCACTGGGCTCGGTGCCGCATCCTCTTTTTCCTACTTCTACTCTTTCCCCAGGTGATTGCATTGGTTTTCTTAAACTTCTCTTCGAAACTTCTGAAAGTTATTGCTTCAGTCCAGAGCTTTCTTTTGAAATCCATATTTTTATCAAGTGCATCCTTGACTTAATCACTCTGCAATCTCAAAGAGAACTGAACTTCTGCTTAAAACCTATCCAGGAAGGGCCGGTGCCACGGCTCACTAGGCTAATCCTCCGCCTAGCGGCGCCGGCACACCGAGTTCTAGTCCCGGTAGGGGCACCGGATTCTGTCCCGGTTGCCCCTCTTCCAGGCCAGCTCTCTGCTGTGGCCAGGGAGTGCAGTGGAGGATGGCCCAGGTGCTTGGGCCCTGCACCCCATGGGAGACCAGGAAAAGCACCTGGCTCCTGGCTCCTGCCATCGGATCAGCGCGGTGCGCCGGCCGCGGCGGCCATTGGAGGGTGAACCAACGGCAAAGGAAGACCTTTCTCTCTGTCTCTCTCTCTCACTGTCCACTCTGCCTGTCAAAAAAAAAAAAAAAAAACTATCCAGAAAGGCTCACTGGAGCTTAAGACTTAGTATGAAACTACAGCAATGAAGTAAATGGAGCATTAGCACAGAATACACACAGAGGCCAACAGAATAGGCTACAGTCTAGAAACAGCCCACACTTGTAAGGCCAAGTGATTTTTGTCAAAGTTTACTTATTTTAATTTATTTGAAATGGGGAGAGAGAGAGAGAGAGAGAGCGCGCATCTTCTTCCATCTCTTGGTTCCCTCTCCAAATTCCCTCCAGCAAGGGCTGAGGCCAGACCAGAGCCAGGAACCAGGAACTCCAAGTGAGTCCCACATGGGTGGGAGGGACCCAGGGCCTCGAGCCATCACCTACTGCCTCCTAGGATGTAGGAAGTTGGTCAGAAGCAGAGGCTGGACTCGATCCCAGGCACTCCAATATGGGATACGGTGGACCCAAGTGGTGAGTTAACCTGCCGTGCCATAACACCCACCTCTGGCCAGCTGATTATTTTTTACATATTTTATTGAAATGCAGTATACATATCCATAAATGCACACAGGTATACCAATAAATGAATTTTTGTCATGTGCTCACACTCCTATCACCCAAGTTAAGAACAAAGCAGTACTGGAACCCCAAGAGTCCTCACTATTCCCCGATCCAATTCTTTTTTTAGATATGTTAAAGAGGAATATATTGTCATTTACATGGTCAGAATCAGTGAAGCACTACTTACAACTATATACCAAATGATATGACAGTCACACAATTTTATACTCTATATATTAACTACCACAAGTCAGAGAAAACATGTGATATTTGCATGTTTAAGTCTGGCCAGCTGATTTTTGACAAACATGCCAAGGCAAATCAGTAGTGAAAGAATAGTCTTTTCAATAAACTGTGTTGAAACAATTTGGCATCCATATGAAGAAAAGATGAACTTTAACCCACACCTTATACCATATATAAAATATTCACTCAATAAAGCCTGGACCTGAAAGTAAAACATCAAGTCATAAAACTCCTAGAAGAAAACACAGCAGAAAACTTTGCTGCCTGACGTGGTCAATGATTTCTTGGATAGGACACAAAGGAACAAACCATAAGAGGTCAAAATTAATACACTGAATGCATCAAAATTAAATAATTCTGCTCTTTGAAAGATTGGGAAAGGAAAAGAAAAAGCAAAGAATATGTAAATTTATATGCTTACATATCAATAAAGAACAAATGTCCAGAGTGTAGAAAGAACTCTCTCAAATCAATAACCAGAAAATAAGCCATTAAAATAAAAAAGGAGCAAAACAAATGAACAGAGATTTCACCACAGTGACTATAGAGTGGGCAAATAAATATGTGAAAACATATCCAACAGCCTTAGTCCTAACGGAAATCAGAACAAAATCTACAATGATTATCATGAGGCTGTTAAAATGGCTAAAATTAAAAACAAATCACATTATCAAGCTCTAGCAAGAATGGGGAGTAATCAGAATTCTTTTGGAAATACAAAATATAGAATATAAAATACAGAATACATTTGGAAATACAAAAATGATATAACCACTTTGGAAAACATGTCACAGCGTCTAATAAGTTTACCAGACAGCCCATAATCCCACTCCTAGGTGTTTACCCAAAAGAAATGAAAACATGTCCACCTAAGAACCAGTATGCAAATATTTATATCAGTTTTTTTTTTTTTTCAAAATTGACAGAACTAGGAACAATCCAAAACTCCCCCTGCTGGAGAGTGGATAAATCGCATTTTGTATACACAACAGAATATTCTCAACAATGAAAAGGCCTGAGTTACTGGTTCTTGCACCCACATGGATGAGCCTTGAATGCATCGTGCCCAATGGGAGAAATCAGATTCAAAAAGCTATGTTTTGTATTTTGCAATTTATATGAAAATCTGAAAAAGGCTAAAATATAAAGGGACAGAGGTAAGATGAGAGGCTGATGGTTTGGGGTTGGGGAGGGAATTATCTACAAAGGGCATCAGGGTGTTTTTAGGATGATTGTGGTGGTTTTACAAAATAGCGTTTCTTAAAAATAGTGAATTTTACTATGTATCTACTGAGTGTACATTATACACTTTCAAGCCTGACTTTAGGAAAACTGGTTTAAAAGCTTCTCCATGTAAACAGCTCTTACGCAAACTTCTCCATCTCCAAAAGTGGCATCCCTCGCTGTCCATTTGCTAAGTGGGAAACTCGGCAGTGGTGGCCAGAACTTCTCATCCACCTCCCACATGCACCCACCACCACATCCCATCAATTCTGCTTCCTATCCAACTCTGCTGCTTGGTGCAAGTCACTATCCCTATCATCTAGACTATGACAACGACTTCCTTGCTGGTTTCTGGACTTCCGTTCCTGCGCCCCCCCCCCCCATCCACTGAATGCATAACTCCAAAGTGGAAACTTCCAGTAAAAGCAAATCCTGCCATGGCCTTGCTTAAAACATCCTGGTGGAGGCTGGTGTGGTGCAGCAGGTTGAGCTACTGCCTGCAACACCAACATTTCACGTGAGCACTGGTTCTGCTTGAGCCCCAGCTGCTCCTCTTCCGATCCCCCTCTCTGCTACTGCATCTGAGAAAGAACAGCATGATGGCACAAATACTTGGGCCCCTGCCGCTCATTGGGAGACCTAGATGGAGTTCCAGACCCCTGGCTTTAGTCTGTCCTGGCCCTGGCTGTTGCAGCCATTTGGGGAATGAACTAACAGATGCTTTGTCTTTGTAACTCTGTCTTTCAAATACATGAATGAATGAATGAATGAATGAATTTTGGTGGCTGCATTCCCAAATCCCATACTTTGGCCCTAAAAGGCCCTACATGATCTAAGATACCTAATGTCATCTTGTCACATCCCCATTCATCTCTCCCACCCTACTCCACACCCATGACACCTTAGACCATTTGGCCTTCTAATATTCAATGGTCAATAGTCAATAGTCCAATAGTCAATAGTCCAATAGTCTACACCTATGCTCTTTCCCTCCTAGCTCCTTTTTCTAATTCCTAGCTCCTTTTTCTAATGACTGGCTCATTCTCAGTTTTCAAGTTTGAGCTCACATATTAGTTCCTTAGAGAAGTCATTTTTTTATTAAATATTTATTTGTTTATTTGTTTGAAAGTCAGAGTTACACAGAGACAGGAGAGGCAGAGAGAGAGAGAGAGAGGCCATAGCAGAGAGCAGGATCAGAAGAGGAGCAGCCAGGACTAGAACCAGCGCCCATATGGGATGCCAGTGCTTCAGGCCAGGGCATTAACCCACTGTGCCACAGTGCCGGCTCCTCCTTAGAGAAGTCTTAACACATTTTGTAATAGTTCACTTTTGACTTCCACAGCTCCTTATTTATTCCTTCACAGAGTTTTTCCCAATTGATAATTATGTATTTGTGAATTTATTTTGCTATAATGTATCTCCCTGCTAGAACACTATCTGATGCTTAGTAAGGACTAAATAAATATTTGTTAAATAAATGAGCAAATTAATGCACTTCCCCAGGGTGAGTCATGGCACTGTCGATTAGCCCGATGCTTGGAATGCCTGCATCCCATATCAGAGTTCTAGTTCAAATCCCAGCTGCTCTGCTTCCAATCCAGCTTTCTGCTGCTGTGCCTGGAAGCAGCAGATGATGCCTTGAGTGTCTGAGTCCCTGCCATCCACGTGGGAGTTGTGGCTTCTCATTTTTACCTGGCCCAGCCTCGGCCGTTGCAGCCATTTAGGAAGTGAATCAATGGATGAACGATCTCTTTCTCTCCTTCTCTAAGTCACTCTGCCCTTCAAATACATTAATTTTAAAACAAATACATTTTCTACATTTAAAAAGTAATAATAAGTTTCTGGTGTGATCATCACTGATTGACCTGACAGAACCAAAAATGTAAGTATATGCTACATATTTTTAGGACACTCTAACTAGACATGGGATGCCCGCTACATGGTAATCCCTGCTACATGGTAATGCCTCCAGCCTGGAGATGTTTCCAAACATGAGTGTTCAAGGGCATGATGGTGTCAGCCACCCAGAAAGGCTTACCTCTCCAGACCAATTGCTTGGCACAGAGAATGGAGTTTGGAGTTGTACAGAAGTGCAAAGCTGTGTGTCCACTGAGGGAGTAGCAGTTGAGCTTTGCCCCACGGTCACAGAGGATCTTCACGCAATCCAGGTTGGCCATTTCACAAGCCACATGCAGAGGAGTTTTCCCGTTGGGTCTGCAGTTGATGGTAGCATTGTGGTCCAGCAGCACCAGCAGGCACTCCACATGGCCAAATAAGACAGACAGATGCAAGCCTGTTGCCCAGGAAGACTTTAATTTATAACTAGGCAACCAATAACCTGAAAAAGGAAAAAAAAGTTTAACTTGTTGGCCTGGGATTTCTCCTTGTCTTCTAAGGATGTTTAGAACACATTTTATTGTGGTCACCTTTATAAAATTAGGGAGGGAATGACTCAGAGGTTAGACTATAGCGGATGGATCTGCATTGTTTCTTGAGTAGCCTGCTGTGATAAGCTTAGTGGCACAGGCTTCCTCAACAGCACACTGTCCCTACTATTCCCTATTAGCTTGTTCCTTCATTAACTTCACTTTTGTGGGTATTGAAAGTATTTTGAGCGTTAGGCCTTCATTTACGTGACTGTTTTATTTCACATGGTGAGTTAATGAGATTCTTCAGGAACTTCTTTTTCCAACTCTCAACCATTCAGTTTGTCTTGAATGATACCAAAGTCACTGGTGAGAAGCTTGTAATTTTTATCCCAACCCAGTTCTTTCTCCTTATTGTTGTTAAGTCAATCCAAAGTATCAATGTGTTTAATACATTTTTAAGATTTGTGTAGTGGAGGATGGCCCAAGTACTTGGGCCCTGCACCCCATGGGAGACCAGGAGAAGCACCTGGCTCCTGCCATCAGATCAGCGCGGTGTGCCGGCTGCCGCGTGCCAGCCACGGCGGCCATTGGAGGGTGAACCAACAACAAAAAGGAAGACCTTTCTCTCTGTCTCTCTCTCTCACTGTCCACTCTGCCTGTCAAAAAAAAAATTGTCTTGCCAAGATTTTATTCATCTTGCTATCTCTTTCCAAATAAGAATTTAAAGCAAATCACAAATTTTCTACAATACAAAATCTTAAAAAGTGATCTAGAAAATAAGGACAAAGAAAAAAAAAGAAGTCAAAGTAAGTGCACAAAATGTAGGCCTGCATGTATGATCTCAGAGCTTCCTAGCAGCCAAAATTAACAGGAAAACAACATGTATTGCAGAACTGGCTATGCCCACCAGCTGTATACAGATTCATTGATCCAGACAATGTTGTTTCTAGGACTGAGATTGTTGGAAATATCCTCTCACTCACTCTCTCCTTCCTGCCTCTGACATCTGATTTGTATACACTGAGATGGTCCTTGTTCTACAAGTCTCCAATGATTGCCATATCTGACAAGTGTCCACAATGATGCCTAACTTGACATGTGAACACCTGTAGCTACAGCATTCAGTCTCACTGTGAGTGGAAAATAGGTACAGAAAGTTGAAATACCGATAGCAAGATGAAGATGTAAAAATAGCTCAACAGCCAAGAAAGGACTTGATGACTGAAACAAAAAAAATAAATAAACAAATTTGAACATGAATAAATCAAAAGTCTGATTCTGGGCTATAAAAATTCTGCTTGCAAGTACAAGGTAAGCAGAACATGGCTTAAAGATCATGTATTTGAGGAAAAGACCTAGGGGTTTGAGTTGACAGTAATCTGCAAAGGAGCCTAGAGTGGGATGGAGCTGCCAAAAACAAATACAATCTTGAGCTACATTAATAAAAATGTAGGGCCCGGAGCAAGAATGTAAAAATTGTACTCTTGGGGCCGGCGCTGTGGCACAGTGGGTTAACACCCTGGCCTGAAACGCCGGCATCCCATATGGGTGCCGGTTGGAGACCCGGCTGCTCTACTTCCGATTCAGCTCTCTGCTATGGCCAGGGAAAGCAGTAGAAGACGGCCCAAGTCCTTGAGCCCCTGCACCTGCATGGGAGACCTGGAAGAAGCTCCTGGCTCCTGGCTTCGGATCAGCACAGCTCCAGCTGTTGCAGCCATCTGGGGAGTAAACTATTGAATGGAAGACCTCTTTCTCTCTTTCTCTCTCTCTCTCTCTCTCTCTCTCTCTCTCTCTCTCCTGCCTCTCAACTGTCTGTGTAACTCTGACTTTCAAATAAATAAATAAATAAATATTTTTTTTAAATTGTACTCTTTACTGATTAGATGAGGTCAGAACAAATCTAGGAAATCATGGTTCCTCCTGGGCACCACCCTTTACCACACATGAACAGTAGCTAGAGGGCCTTCTGGGAAAGCTGGCCACACTGAAAGTGGTTGCGAGTTACTAACATCCTCTCACTTAAGAGAAAAAGACCACCTGTGTGTCCCTTATGTGTGGAGTGCACCAAAGGACCACTGTGCTACACAATCTCACGGCACACGATTTGCTCTGTGCTCTGTGACGGCTCCTAGAAGTTATGAACCCTGCTAAGCCAGTACGTGCAAGGACATGCACTACTACACTACAATGTGGCTCAAGCTGATCGTAGGATTGCAACAGCCTCAGTACTCATCACAAGGAGACTGCTTCAATACATTGCAGTACATTCACACAACTGAATACTATACAACCATTAAAAAGAACTAGGCAGTTATATATTGACTGAAATGAAAACATAGCAATATATATAAGGATACTTTTAAAAAGTTGCTAGAAACATGGGATTAAAAGATAAGTTTAGGATGGTATCAAAAATTGAAACGCATGCATAGCTTTTTCATACTATACATTTTCCATGAACAGAATTGAAGAGTATGCACACTATACTATCATGTATAAATATGTACATGATTACATATGTAACAACTTACATTGTAAACAACTACAGCAAGAAATTGATTATGCTGGGAGCCTGCCAGAAGAATGAGGAAGTGCAGGACAAGGATACAGATGAGCTAGCTGCCTCTGGAATGACTCTTTGTAACTTCTAAATCTAGTGCCTTGTGCATGAAATACTCTTATAAAAAGTAAGTAAAATTCTAACTGTTGTCCCTTGGTCTAGAGGGAAAAATTAACTTGAAGAGACCATTCATTTAAAAGGTCAGGAACAATGCTGATGAATCCCACTGGACAAGTGAACTCAACCCCAAGTTTATTTTTCTGCAGCCCACCAACCAACCTAGCTACACACACACACACACACACACACACAACTTAATCCATTTTTCAGCTCATTCAGAATTTCAGAGTTGTCTTGCTTTTCTCCCTCTCATTCTCCCCTTATCCAAATTTGCTCTTCTGAAAAAAATCTAGTTATTTCAGAATGAATTCTAATGGGCCAAGTATTGTTTTAAGTGGGATCCCTCTCAGGACTATCTGAATTTTTATAGGATTTATGTAATAAAATTAAGCTCTAAAATAGGGATTTGGGATTCTAGACAATAAGAAAAGATATTTTGTGACATGAACTCTTCCTGGCAGAGCTAAATGGTATCATGTGGAGTTTGAGCTGGGGAAAATCAACTCTGTGCCATGTGTGTGTATGTCTGTGTGTGTGTGTGCACATGTAGATAGATATGTACACTATATATAGATATATGCACACACACATACACACAGTTCAACATTTCTATTTAGTTATGTACATTGAACCTGTGTTCCAAGCAGATTCAGCGTGGAATATGCAATACAACTCGCTTTTGATATCAAATCAATCATATTGGCACCAATACTTAATCAGCTGCTTTCATCCTCAAATGTCCTCAGCAAGCTATTTGCAAAATTCAGTCTTTTCTAAGTGTCTTGGAAAGAAGCTGGCTCCAGATCTGAAAACCACAGTGTGCTTTCCTGCCGCTTAGCCACAAAGATCAGGCAGCTCTGTGCTGCAACTCATTTGAAACTCATGCCTGCTTCTGCAGCGGGAAGAAAAATGATCTTGGAAAGGAAGCAGCAGAGAGCTGATTAAGAAAACACCAGTTTGATGTAAAATCAAAGGAACGCAGAATGTCAGCGCTAGAGGGAGATTATCCAGTGCAAGCCTTTCGTTTTCCAGACGAGAAAACTGCCACTTCTTCAGCCTGCTAGAGCCGTAAGTTGCCTGCTCTGTCCAAACTTGAACATCTGCAATGCGGAGCTTGCTTCTATCTGTCACTGTGGAGGCGGGAGAGGTTAGCTGCAAGTCCGCTTCACAAATCACAGGGAAAAAAAGAAGATCCCCAATTCATCTGTAAAATGCCACACCTCTGCTTTGGAAATGCACTTACTCGTTACTTTTTTCTCTTTCCGAATTCCCAGTAGCACCTAGAGAATCTATTCTGCCCGTTTTTCACACAAATCAGTCATCCTTGCCTGGTCAGTTTCTCCTGTGCCTCCCCTAAGCATCACCATTATCTGGTGAGCCAGGTTTGCGGGCCATCAGCTCCTGGTGTTTAAGGAACCCCCAGAATGGAACTGTGCCTGCAACTTGCCTCTGCTAGGCGGCAGTGTGCGAAGCTGGGTGTTAACAGGATGCCTTAGCCACCGCCCCTGAGCAGCTGGAATGGAGAAATGGGAGTGGGGCAGACTGGAGCTGTGGCTCAGGTACGCTGAGTGTGTCCCAAAGCTGGGTGTCGGAACTCTGGTGGCAGGGTAGGGGATGGGCTTCTGGAAAATTCAGCCCCAGGCACAACAGCAAAGCCTGCTGTTCCAAGCAGAGCAAAGAGCAGCCCCCCAGCACACAGACCACCCACATACAATCAATCACTCCCTTCAAATGAGGCTGGAGCCACAGCCACGGGGTGGCAAGTGCGGAAGTCAGGGCACCTTCCTCAGTGGGTGACCAAACCCAAGTTTTCTTCAAAGAAGGCAGACAGGCTGCACCTACTGGCATACGAAGGGCTTCCAAAAGTTCACAGAAAATGTATATTAGGAAAACACCGCATGGATTTCCATTTTTTTGCACCAAAATAAACTTATCCTAGAATCCTATTTTTCCATGAACCTTTTCATGTTTCAGACTTGTGTGGTTGCTGACGCCCCAGGAGATGAGAATCGGTTTCCTAAAACATAACCACCAAGGGTCATCGCGCACTCAGCTTGCACAGTACCCGGAGCGGGCAGGTCCCTGTCTGCCACTCTCACTTTTTCCAGCTGCAGAAATTCCCCAGGGCTCCGGAACCTTGGCTGTGATTTATTCTGAGTATTTGTCGTCCAGAGGCCCCCCCTCTGTCCACCTCTGCAGATTGCAGGCTGCCCTTTTACTGCGGGTCAGGCTGCACAAAGACGGGGGTGGGGAGGAACCGGGAAAACAAAGTCTCTGAGGGCCAGGCAGGGTGCGAAAGCCGAGGCCTCCCTCTGATGGAAAGCACTCCCGCTCCACAGTCCGCCTGCCAGGAGGGCGCCAGCCGGAAGAGCTCAGTTAGAGCAAGGTGCAGGGGGCTCCAGGGAGAAGAAGGGAGGACACAGAGATTCTTTCCCAGGCACAAATCCCTCCAAAAGCTCCCGGTCACAGGCCACTGCTTGTGGACTGCCAGTATTTACAGCCACTTTGACTTTCCCAGACCGTGATCCTTCACACCATAAATTATCTGTACGCAGGGGGCTTAGCCCAGGTCCTGACAAAACCTTCATTCTGCAGATGAAGATAGTAAGATAGGTACAGTTTCAGCAGCCTGCAGTGTCTCCGTGTGTATAACAGGGATGGACAGAGGCCAACTCAAGTCCCAAACTCAGTCTACCACAAAATCTTCAAATGGCCAGCCCTGATAGGAGAACCTCATGCAGTTTGCCTGCAAACTATTATCACTTGGAGCTGAATGTCCCAAAGGAATTTTAGAAGTTTGTACTCCTGCAAAAATCTGCTGACCAAATTCGTGTGTGTGTGTGTGTGTGTGTGTGCGTGTGATTTAAATCCAAAACTAAAGAGGTATTCCTAAGCAGCTGGGCAGAAAGCCCCCTAACTCAGGCACAAAGGTTAGGCTAGGAGCTAAGTGCCCTGGCCGTGTTTGGGGAGGCAGAATTGGTTCTGCTCCAGCGTTCGGAGGGGGCACCCATGTCACTACTCAACCTGCATCCGAGTGCAGGCTGTGCAGCCGCAGTTATCAACGATAATGTATCCAGAAGAACCCATACACAAGAAGCCTGTGTTACTACAGCCAAAGGTTACACACACACTGCTCGTGGCTGGATTAGCAGACACTTGCTCTGCCTGTGTCCCCTTATTTACACAGTCCTGAAGGATTAGAGACTGAAGCAGAATTCTTGGCTATTTTCTTAATAGCTAATATTTTCAGGATAACTCTCAGAGTTCCCCTGAGAAAGAGGGAGGGAGGCAAGTTTGCAATGTAAAACTTAGAGGTTGGAACATCTGGCAGGGGAAAAGAATCCCAGAACGGTAATAGGAAAACAGGATGGTGAATTTCTGGCAAAGAGGAAAAGTAGGTGATAAAGAGATTATTCATTAGGAGAGTGGAAGTCAGAGCTTTGGAGTTATTTGGACAGCAGTTGCTACTTAGTAGAGTACCCGCCGGAAAATTTTCAAGTGAAATTATTCAGTGGTTATTTTAATTAACAATATGACTACCAACCAAGGAACCAGTAGCTGTGTGCCATAAGTGAGATACTTAAAGCACATTACACTGATTAATAAAAGGACTCTGATTAACCTTGCTGACTAGGGAATTTCACACCAAAGAGAGAAGTATGACAGTCTTGTATCACTAATGAACCAAAACGCTCGTGCAGCTGATGGAAAAGCAAAATGAGCAGTTGGAAAAACCTTTGGAAATAGCTGGATGGACATGGGTTTGCATTTCCCAGGATGAAGGACACCAGGGGAACCCAATACGAAGGGCCTGAGTTTCCTTTAGTGACTTAAATTCACTTCACAACTGCATGCTTGCTTCATGATAAACATTGTATCACTTGACTATTCAACAGCATTCTGCACTTAATAAGTTGTCCTTGTATTTCTGTGTGTTCATGTCATTTATATTTTAAAATGATCCTTGGATAAATGCAATTTGCTTACTCTGTTTTTGCTTTTAAGACACACATCTCTGCCATTCCCTGGGAGGTCTCTCAAACTCCACCCAGTGCATTTCTAAAATGTACTTTACAAAAATGTGTGTGTGTTAAACAAGCATGATTTCATCTGGAGATCTGATTATGAAGGTCGACATAAGTTGAAAAAAGAAAGTGAGATTTCTCTAATGTTAGGACTTGTTTTTAGGTGCTGGCAAAAGACAGAAGCCGCGGTTTGAACATGAATGCCAGAGTTGGCTTCTAAATCTTTATCTTTCTCAGGCTGGGCAGAGAAGCCAGGCAACAAGACGGGCCCAGGGCTACAGGGGTAGCAGAAGTGACTTCCCAGACTCTTTGTAATCCAATAACTTGGTTCTCCCTCACAAAATCCATATTTGCTTTAGGAGGTCAACTTTTGATTACTGGTATATCAACTAGATTGTGGATTGAGGGGAGCTATATTCACAGACCAAACCAAATTCTTCACCAGCTGGATTCTGAATTACCTTTCCAAAAATTTAACACTGATTTTCAAATTGGCTTAGACATACTCTATAGGGATAAAATCCAGCCACTTTTTGAAATTCTATGAGCACTGATGTGATATGTTCTACACGTAACAAAAATGATTAAGAATTGATTGGACCACTGTTAAGCTTCTACAGGACAATCAGATATTGCATATAAAATTACATTATAAATTACACAAGGAAATCCAAAAGTAGCATCATGCCTATTACAGATTTTACATTGTCTTGCTTATTAAGTTGAAAGATTCAAAAGAATCAGTAATGTTCTGTTTCCTCAATGAAATGCTGGTTACATAGATTTATTCTGTGAAAATTAAGAGCTGCACACTTATGATTTATTTTTTCTATGCAGAGTTTTTCAAACATGCTTTAAAAAAATCAGAGTAGCGCATGGTAATTCCACAGTGCTCAAGGTCTGAAAAGTTCTGCTTTGAAGTAGAGAGTCTCACAAAGTTTAATTCAGCCACAAAACATTCACAGCCACAAAGAATATGTCCTATTTGTTACAACTATCCGGAGAGGAAAGACCTACCTAACTAGTGACCAGTACAAACCACTCAGTTCTACACTGCTTCCCGAGAATTCTTTTCTGAGTGAAAACATTGTAACACCCGCTTCTACTTTGCTTGACTAGCTACTGAGATTCTATTTATTTCTTCCATTTCTAACTTCAATGGAGGGATATTTGAGCTTGGAAGACTGTGAAGAAATTTAAAGGATCTTGGAAGAAAAATGAGGCTTTATCCTGGATTTAAGGCAAAGTGACAGACTCTTGTATTTCTGCGCACATCAAGCCGAGTATTTCTTTCTACATGTGTGCTTGCATGCACACACACATGACTTCCTGCATAAACCCTGAAGACCTGACCACAAATCCTATTATTTCTGTGCACACACCCACCTAGCATACATAAGAATGGAACAGTTCTTTCCTTTCCCTAGTTGAAAGTCTCATTCCACAGTCCTATCACTATGAAAACAACCACTAGTGTGAATGAAAATTTAGCTCTGTAAGGACCTTTGGAGTTGGCTTTCATTGACAAGAAGAGTTTAAGATGCCTCTTCTTGTTCTGCTGTGATGACACACTGAAAGCGGGAGAAACAACAGCCCGTTTCCCGAGAGCCTTTCTCATCATCTCGGGAACTTCGCATGCTCCATGTAGTTTAGCAGGCACAGGAGATGAGAAAAGGCCGCCTTTGCAGATCAGGGTCAAATAAATTGCTCAGTGATTTAAATCTGAGTTATTTTATACTGTGAAACATGCAGGGTCTTCACTAACTTCGTGAAAATAGATGCTGTGAAAGAAATTATGACTGGGCTTCAAAATGTTTTTACACCAAAAATAAACTCATATTTTATATCCCATCTTCTGAGAACCTTAGGAAAACCTCTCCTATAAAAAATTTTTAAAATGTTCTTAGCATTCAGACATCATTTCACTGAGCAAAGTCAAGAGGAAAGCAATCTAATTATAGAATACATTGTTAATAGAGACCCATTTTATTTTATTTTTAATCTTAAAAAAAATTAGATCCTTTCTTCACATCTTGGTCAAAAAGCAATGCCAATATTTTATAAAGCCCTCAAGTGAATACCACAAGCACAATACTTGACCTCGGTTCTGCCACACTTCTCTCAGAACTGAGCATCAGTAGATACAGAATCAATACAGAAATACACGAGAAGTCTTCAAAAAGTTCACAGAAATTTATATTATGATAAAGCAATGCACAGGATTTCAAAATTACCCCCAAAATAAACTTTTCTCTTTATTCCTTCTTTCCACAAACTTAACAGGAACATTTGTATCTGAAAATTGATGGCACTGAGGAGTTCTATATGAACAGAAAACATCTTTAAACATGAAAAATAATTATGCTCTTTCTGTAAATGCTGTACACAAGACCTTATCATCTACTTTGTTTAAACAGAAATGATGTTGAGCAGAACTGTGTGTCTACGGTCCGCTCACCAGATGGCCCAACCACTCAGGTTCCCTCATTAACTAGTTGATTTGGGAAATCAGGATCAGTGTGCTTCTAAATTATTTCTGATTTATTAAACAGGGATTCCCGGAAATCCTTCTATAAAAAATTCTGTTCTAATTTTTGCTTAGTTTTTTTTTTTTTTAATGAGGCACATATCCTTTGATAAGCACAAGCACAATTTTGATCTTTTGTTAAAAAAAAAAAAGTTAACTTTTCAAATTTTCTGAGTTTAGGTTTGTGCCCAAACTAAAAATCCATTAAAATGATGAAGACCATAAAGGTGCCTGTAGCACAGCTTTATCCATTCATTGACCCTCCAAATGGGGGAGAAAGTCCTCTTTTTCATCCACATGGACGTAGAGATGAGACACAGCAAAGTGGCTGTTAAAAGAGAACTAGCAGCTTGTCCCCAAACCAGCTACACTGTCTATACGAGGTCCCAACAGTCTGTGGAATCGCAAGCTCAAGATGCTTTCTTTATTCTATGTTGTCACAGTCAGAGAAAAGTTAGAAACAGTGCATTTCTAAATATGATTGAACAGCATTTCATATTCCCAGCATAGCAGATAAGAAACAAAAGACAAGCATAAATATGTGTGTACATATATACACATCAGCCCAGAATGCATTCTAGCTTCAAAAGAAAGAAAAGAGCAAATTAGAAACATTTTAAGAATAAATATTAGAAGAAACAATAACAGCTGCTAGTTTAAAGCGAGTGACTGCCACCGTGCCTTAGAAAAGCAAAATCCATTTTCCAACAATGTTACAATTACAGCTAATTTTTTACCTTGTTTATAAGATGCCAACACCATATTCTCATCTTCCACTTCAAAAACTGTATCCACATCTATTTGTCTTTGGATTAAAATAGCCTTCAATTTTCCGGAGTCATTTGACTTGAGAGCCTCAAGAAAATTTCTCTTCACTAATTTGGCAGCTCCAGACTTGGTGAGCGGGGCAGTGGTGCCGTCCATCCTTCCTCTCCCTTTGGAAGCTTTGGTGTGATTTATCAGGAAAGCAGCACCAAGCAAACAGGCGCACACTACAGAGTGCACACACTGTCGGCTAATTTTATCCCAAAGTTATGCTGCTCTGTTCTATTTATACAGGGATCATTTCAAACTTCAAAATATCCTCCCTGGCTCTCACTGCCTTTTCAGGTCCTTCACTCTGGTTTTATGGGAAACGAGCCGTTCAGTAAAGCGTCGTGTCAATATGAACCGAAGCCCGGCGACATATTTCCAAGCTTGAAATGTCACTATTAGTTCTCATATGATCAAAGTAATAATGTAAGATTTAAAAGCTCTTAATGCTCTTTTTTTTTTCCCCCTCAGTAAAAACATCTGTTCTCTGGCTGGAAATCCAGTGTCTTGCTCTGATTAACCAATAGCCCCAGATGAAAATACGTTACAGTTGCTGATCCATGTGCTTCCGAAAACCTAGGATAATTGTGTAATAGGAACCATAAAATCAATCACGGTCATACACATTTGAAAATACACAGAAGGTTTCCAGGGGACCTAAGTCTTCAGAATTTTAAATATTATGAAAAACAAGAGTGGAGGGGGGACTGTTGTAGGTCAAAACAAAAAGACAAAACAGTTTAATGGAATGAGTGAATGAAGTTTATTAAATCCTGCTTTTAAAAATTGAGTTAGGAAAGACTAGATCACAACAACTGTGGAAATATAAATATGGATTAGATACTACTTGAGAATATGAAACTGTTCCTTTTTAAGATTTGATAAAGGTACTGGGATTATGTAGAAGAATATAATTATTCTGAAGTGACACATTAAAGATAAGTTGCCACGATGTCTAAGATTTCTTTTAAAATATTTCAGAAATACAGATATTATTATAAACATAGGTATATAGGGTATGTGTGTGAACAAGTCTATGCATTTGTATAAACACAAGTGTGAAACTTTATTCTATATATTCACACACAAGTGTGTATGTATATAAAGACAGAGATATAAAACAAATGTATCAAAAAGTTAAAAGTAGGTGAATCTAGTGTAGACTCTTTGGTAGTCCATTATATTATTCTTTCAGTTTTTCTGTAAATCTGAAACTTTTTCCAAAAAATGTTGGAGAAAAATATAAATTCACTTTTTGTTCTTTTAAACATTAAATACGGGACAATTATAGCAGGCAGAGAACTAGACTGCAAGTGAATCACATGAATTTATGTTGGTGAGAGTCAAAACTGGCAACTAACAACATGAATCTTTAACAACATGAAATACTATTTTATTCTTAGAATTTACTTAGGTGTGTGAACATGGATGCACATTACAATATAATTTGTTAATTACTTTACTGATGTCTAACATAAATAGGAGTGCCGAACCCTAAGCATAGAATGTGTCAAGTTTTCACAAAGTGACACACCTTATTCTGGTGCTGGGGAGTCAACAGACAAAAGTTCCTAATGAGAGTGAGTGAGCATGAAATGAATTTAAGAGGTGGCAGGAGCCCCGTAGTTCCTTTCTGACATCCTGCCCCCTAGAATTTGTTGCAATGTTGAAAACTCACTGGACTTCATACAAAAACAATAGTTTGTTTACACCCAGTTGATTGATTTGATTTCTCTGCCGGATATGCCCCACCCTACTTAGTAGCCAAGGGAGGTCAATTTAATTGTAGTCCAACCTGATATGTTTGGTCTGATATAAACAGTTGGCAGTCTCCTTAAATAAACAATCAATCTATTTGGAAAAAAAAAATGTGTATGGACTTAACAGCTCCTTCATGGTCTGTCAAAACCTCCAGCCTCCTGGTTAGGAAAGTCTAGTTGGGACTTTTTACTTGTTTAAAGCCCTTTCACTTTTCCCTGTCCCCTGTAGGTCAGCAAGCTTGCTGATCTCCCTCCACAGGTGGAAGGACTACCATCTTCACATTATGGAAGAAATGTCATGATCTGAGTCCTCCAGATCTGGTCCTTGATACCATAAAATAGGAGATAAAGTGATTTAGAAAAGTCTTTGGTTTTCCTAATGCCTGATGTTCACAACTGTTCTCTTTCCAAACATCAGCATTAAGATTTAAAATTGACCAATGGCCAATTTGTTCTATGACACTGCCACACTTTCTCTCCTTAGGTTGATAAACCTCAACATTTGGCCTGAAGGTGGCAGTCTACAAAGGAACAAGACCATAGAATAAAATTTTAAAACTTTGCTTTAATATTTGGAAGCAAACTTAAAACTTTATATGAAGGAAAGGGTCATAACCTTTCCCACAAAAGCTATTTCAGTCTCACTCCTTAGCTGAAAAAAAAAATAAGTAAATCTAAAGTTTGTGGGATGCTTTGAGAAACCAATACAAATTTCAGTGAAGAAATGAATCAAACTGAGAAAGTTATCTGTACTATTCTACTAAAAATTCAATCATTGATCAGTTTATTCAAGTAGCAGAGGACAGAATTTAGGGTTTATTTGAACTTAAAAGACAAATAGCAGTTTAACTAAATTACCCATCAAAGGTATTCTAAAATATAGGAAGCAATTGAGCCAATGCTAGTCAAACAGGTCCAAATCCTGCCTCCATGACCCAAACCATGGCTTCCAGTCACCATCTTTCAAGGCCCAGAAAGGCAAAGTTGCTCTGTGGCCACGTTTCATGCTGTCTAGATGCCTGGCAGAAATTCCTGTATTCTTAGCTCTTAAAAATGAAAACTCTCTGCTGTAACATGAGCTTGAATGTTTCTGACATTCCCTTGACAGTGTCCTCCACTCTTGAAGGTATGATGAACACTCTGACTAGATAACAAAGCTGGGCAAGTGGCCCACAAGACCCTCTGGTACTCTCCAGGGACCTACGGCAGAAGCAGCATGTGCAAAGGCCTGGCCATTTGTTTCCTGATGTCTGTGGACAACACCAACTGTCCCTTTGGAGTTGCTTTGTTGCACAAACAGCTCCTTGGTTTAGAATGGCTTTCAAACATGAACTTGATATTTCTACGCTACAATTGCTTACCAAAATGCCAAAAAGAAGAAGGAGAAGGAGATTAGGAAGAAGAAGGAAAAAGAAAGGAAGAAATCAGAAGTCAATAAACCTTCAGAAGACACAACTTCCTTCAAGAGAGGGCCATTGGCCTCCTTGAATTTCCCAGTAGAAGAATTAGCACGTCCTTGCTCTCAGCTCACACAAATGGGCGGTAGCGTTGGCTGGTGTCATTTTCTTTTTATTGTTAGTCACACATCAGTCTACTATGCACAATCCTACTGATTCCATGTTTTCCTGTTTCATTGTTATTTCACATGCTAGTGTTAAGGCTTGTGGGTAACACCAACAATTACAATTTATTTAACAGTAGAGAAAACGAATTGGTTCACACAGTGAAAATTCCAGTTGTAGAATGGGTTTCAGGAGAGGCCTGATCCTGAAGTTTACAGCACCAACAGGGCTATGCCAGGCAGGTCATATTATTAGTAGCATAATTATAATTTTACCATTGTTTTCAGTTTACAGATAAAAAAAAAACTAAGAACTAAAGAATATAAGTTAATTGTATGTCAGATGCTACGTCACACTCAAGCCTAGATGCTGGGATTCCAGAACAATGTTCCTATTACTCAGGTAGGTTTTTGTTTATATAGACATTGTATTTGATCACTGAGAGGCTGGCACTGTGGCACAGCTGGTAAAGCCACTGGCTACAGTGCCAGCATCCCTTATGGGCACCAATTTGAGTCCCAGCTGCTCCATTTCCGATCCAGCTCTCTGCTGTGGCCTGGGAAAGCAGTGGAAAGTGGCACATGTCCTTGGGTCCCTGCACCCGCATAGGAACCCCATTAGAAATTCCTGGCCCCTGTCTTCAGATTGGCCCAGTTCCAGCCAGTGTAGCCATCTGGGGAAAGAACCAGCGGATGGAAGACCTCTCTCTCTCCCTGCCTCTCTGTAACTCTGCCTTTCAAATAAGTAAATAAATCTTTAAAAAATATTTGATCACGGAGTAATCTGGGAAGAAATCTGCTGATATTTGTCCCCTCATTCAATAACTATTGGGAGCTCACTGTGTGGCAGGCAATGTACTAGTTATCTTTTGCTGTTTCGTGAGTAAACCAGATTTTCCTGTGTTTTCTGACACTTGTTATCATGCGTGGGTCAGAATACCATGGGAGAGCCTTGTCCCTGCTTTGTGACATTGGAGGTCTCAGCTGAAAGCCTCGAAGGCTGGAAGTTGGATGATTCCCTGTCCAGATGGCTTATTCTCTTAGGGAATGAGTTGGTGCTGCCAACTGAGTCGCTGTCCACGGAACCCTCTCCATGGAGCTGCTGGAGCATCCCCATAACATGGCAGCTGGTCCCTGCCAGAAAGAAAAACACAAGAAAACAAGCTGGAAGCTGCAATGTCTTTTATGACCTAACCTTGGAAGTCACCCACCACCACTGCCATCATGCCCTACTGGTCACACTGACTAACCTTGACCCGCTATGACAGAAGGTCAAGGAAAGACACGGGAAGGGAGGATCATGGCCTGTCACTAATCCCTGTAGATCAATAAGAAAAGGTGCAAGAATCTCAAACGTTACTAGTGGAGAAACTGAGAGGGAGCATCTTACAAATGAAAGCAAACAGGAAGATGTACAGTTTGTCAGATGGCAGTAGGAACTGGGCAAGGTCTGGGGTCTCGGCCAGATTTTAAGTTTCCCTGTACAGAGCACTGAAGGTGTAATACTGTACCAATAGGTGCAAAATCCTCCTGTGCCAGATGAGAGAAATGGTCAGAGAAGCCCTTGTTTTCCTTGGTCAAGAGCTTAAAGAAAGGGTGAGAGAGAGCAAGACCGGGTATCTAGGGCAAGTGTTTCAAAGCCAAGGGAGCAGCAACTTCTAAGGCTGAAAGACAGGCTTAGGAGGAAACAGCAGCTCAGTAAAGCTTAGGAGTGCAACAGATAAGGATCTGTTTGTTTTATTTCTTCTGGTTCTTGAGCCCAACAGCATTTCTCTCAAAGCAAAGCCTGCAACAGCATGTTCACAGCTGCTTCGTACCAGTCCTGACATACCGCAAGCTCTCCAAAATGGCTTGTAATTGAAGATAGTTTTGTTTTTTATGTCACTGAGCAGTAAAGTGCACACTTTGTGATATTCAATATTCAAGCGGTGCAAACAAAAAAGTTTTCAAGCTGCATGAGGTTTTTAATGCTCTATTTCAGGAGGTGAACCTATCAAACTTGATTTTGAAGTAGGGCAATAGGATTATAATACAAAATGGTACAGTAGCACAATTGGAATTCTGCTCTGTACTAAACATGCCATTTCATAATAATAACTCCCAGAGTGGGAAGAATCACCCGACAGTGCATGGAAGTATGCAGTGTCACTGTGAAGCATAACACAAGAGTTGCACATTGTTGCTGAGTGTTCATAAACCTGGGTTACAGAGCATCACAGC